TAGATAAGAACAATAGTCTTATTTACTGTGCTAGTCTGGTGTGTTCCCCAAAACACATAATTAGAAAGAATAAGTAAAAGAAAGTGACGTGACATGTGGCCAAGTATGGTGACCCGTACTTGGAATTAGTGCTCTGCATTTAATCCATCCAAAGTGCACACATACAGCAGTGAACACACACCCGGAGCAGTGGGCAGCCATTTTAGTTCGGTGCCTTGCTCAAGGGCACCTCAGTCGTGGTATTGAAGATAGAAGAGAGTGCTGTACATTCACTCCCCCACCTACAATCCCTGCCGGTACGAGACTCGAACCCGCAACCTTTGGGTTACGAGTCCGACTCTCTAACCATTAGGCCACGACTTCCCCAATTAACAAACTATGGTTGCAAGTGCTGCCATTAACAACATATTTAAATTTCAACGATTATTGTTTCCTGAATCCAATAACTGTGGTTGTTTTCCGACCACTTGAAGTGTGGATTCAAGACATGGCTAAACAATACAATATATAATATAATATAATATAATATCTCACATGTAGTCATGTAGCACGGCTGAAACAGAACCATATAGCATGGCTATGAGTGTGATATTGCATTTATACAATAGTCCGATGGCACAAGTATGTAAATAAAGAGACCACTATGTGGTGTCTCAAAAAAACCTTTTGTGTGCAGAACTGCTTCCTTCTGCCTCAGATTTAAGCTGCTCATGTTGTTATGAAAATATTTGCATATTGTAATGCTTAGGTAAGATCACTTACATTAGAACAGCCTTCGGTCTGTGCCCCCTTTATATATTTGCTAGTTTCATCACTTCCACTTTAATTCTCGGGCACCAAATTATTTGCTAAACTAACATCCAATCAGAGTTCTCACTCTCGCGAACGGCCCCAACGCTGATTCAACATGTAGAATCGGGCAAACTGCTGCCAACGTGAGCCTGTTGAGAGCCAAAACAACCAAACAAGCCTCTGTTACTAATTTGAAAATGTCACATTAAAACTTGTAACAAATGAATGTCGAGTTGCTTCATTGAAGTTAAAAGCGTACTGTTATAAGTAGAATATTATGAGAGAGAGATCAACTGAGCGAGTGTGATTACCTGCATCTGATACAGCAGGGGTCCCAAAGATCCACTTTCCTGCGGAGATTATCTCCAACCTAGATTAAACACACCTACCTGCAACTGTAGTAATCCTGAAGACCTTGATTAGCTTGTTCATGTGTTTGATTAGGATTGGAGCTAAATTCTGCAGGAAAGTAGATCTCGAGCTCTAGAGTTGAGGACCCCTGTGATGCAGCATTCACTCTTCAGATCCATCTCATATTCATATTAAAATAACAGTTTGAATGTCTGCTGAGGAAAGCAATATCTTTGTCGTAGTATTCTTTCAGCTGTTAAGAGATTTCCCATGATAACACTGGTCAATGCATGTGTTGGTTGCATCTTACAAGGTGCTGTTGAAAGTAAAAATAGTGCCCTTGTTTACAAACTTGTTTCAGCCCCTTTCAAAATACGAGTCTTTCATACTGACTCACTCGTAAAGACTGATGATGGAACAATGTAACCAAAATCACCATCAATAACACATGGACCAAGCTGTTTTTGACAGGGTAAAAGGGCTGTTGTTTTACAAGACCATTGAGGAAATTTAGCCAAAGTATGTTACAGACATTTCATGAAGACCCTCAAGAATCATACCAACTTATGGAAAATGGGCATCCGATTTCCCCTTTAACCAGTTACTTTAATCCAGGGGTCTCCAAACTCGGTCCTGGAGGGGTGGTGTCCTGCAGAGGACATCTCCAACCCTAATTAAACACACATGAACCAGCTAATCAAGCTCTTACTAGGCATGTTAGAAACTTTCAGGTAGGTGTTTTGAGGCAAGCTGGAGCTAAATTCTGCAGGACACCGGCTCTCCAGTACTGAGTTTGGAGACCCCTGCTTTAATCAATCACAGTATCACAGACTGCTACCAATAAATTTTTTTTCATTAACAAAATCTATCTTTGCACTGTAATGATTTATGTGAGAGCTTCAGGTAATTCCTTCTAATCAGTGCTTACTTTTTTATATTGCGAGGTCCCCGAAAAAAACGGGTTGTGTCAAATGTGATTTACAGTTTGGGCTTTACAGCATTTGTGTGTGCGTGTGTGTAAATAGTGTGCATTGTGTAAATAAAATCGACTTGACTAATTAATAAGCTAATTAAACACCTAAGATTAGTGTTGAAACTGCTAGAATGTTTAGCAATTATACAACCTGCAGGTGGAAACCGCTTCCAGATGTCACCAGATAAACCTAACTGTAGCCATATTCAAGTCCAGTTTGATAACAAATGTTTACCTGTTTTTTCTCTCAAATAAAATAATGAACATTGCACTACATTATTTGATTTATCTTTAGTTTATATCTTTTTATTTATCATCTTTCATTTACATTGTGGCAGTTAGCCGCAAGACAGACATTTAAAGGAGTCATCGGATGCAAAATTCACTTTTACATGTTGTTTGAACTGAAATGTGTCTTGGCAGTGTGTGTACACAACCACCCTATAATGATAAAAATCCACCCAGTGTTTTTTAATATTTTTTTTTTTAAATATTGATAAATCATGACCCCTTTCTCAAATCAAGCCGTTCTCAGATTCTGGGCTGTGTGACGTCACACAGGGCAATGCCCCTCCCACAATTGTCAATTGACACTGGTGTTTTACCTTAGACCAGCCCCGAGTGAGCTGTGAACAGTACGCCATTGTTTCGATGCTGGAGCAGGTGTAGACCAGAATGACTCCTAAGCGATTAAGGTGTTTTGTTGTTGGATGTAATAATGAACATAGCAGTCATCGTTTACTCCCGACATCCGAGCCGCTAAAGACGCAGTGGATTAGCTTTGTTTTTGAAGGAAACAAATCTACCTAAATTAGGGATGTTCATTTCGGTTATTTTTCCTAACCGACGCTCGTTAACGGATTATTAACCGTTAACCGACAAGATTATTTTAAATTAGAATTGAATTAAATTAGAAAGGATAAGTGTCTGTGAGCCATTAAAAATACTAACATTTATTTCCCGGGGATTAATTTTACATGCACAAAAAGCAGCAAACAACAGAACATGAGGATTCACAAGGTCATCATGTCACATAACGCACCTGCAGCGCTTCTGCGAGCGGAGAAAAACATCATAAAGCTAGAATATATATATATATATATATATATATATATACTGAACAACATTATAAACACAACACTTTTGTTTTTGCCCCCATTTTTCATGAGCTGAACTCAAAGATCTAAGACTTTTTCTATGTACACAAAAGGCCTATTTCTCTCA